CCGTAATGAATGGAAGTAGATTTACGCTACAATGGTGATCGACATCAACGACTTTCTTCTCACAAGAAAGAACCATTCTTTCCCATGAATCATGCTATTCCTTCACCATTTTGGAAGAATGGGAATTGGATGTCTCTGTGTGGATTCAAATTCATTATTTATATACCACGGAACCTACGATGTCATTGCCACAAACGAAGAAGTTGACGCTAAAAGAAGAACCAATCACCGCTAAGCAAGAGCAACATTAGACTGGGCTGCAGGTAACAGGAAAGGTCCAGAGAAAGACTTCAGTTCGATGGCCAGGTGCGCTTAAAAAATTCGCTTGATCAAAATGGATAAGAATCACATTAGTTGTTGGTAAGGTCTTGGAAAAGCCTCCATCCAGCAGTGGATCGAAAAAAGGCTGAAAAATATGATGATGAAAGAGTGGTTGCCAAAGCAATTTCTGTCGATGGCAAACCCCATAAACTATTCTATGATAATCTGCAATGTAACCTGTGTATTCTGAAACTGCAAGAGATTACGAAGATCATCTTGCAGACAGGTGAATCTCTTGGGATGCATCATGAAGAGAGAGTTGGCGGCTATGAGATATTATTCGATTTTAATTGACATCGCGTTCCTAACAAAAAAGTTATATCGAAGGCATTGAAAGAAGTTAATGTAACAGAAAGAGTGTCTGAAGGAACCAAAAGAACTCAGCTGACGTTCGACGCAGAGGGGAAAGCAGATGTTTAAATCAGTACCCAATGTAAGAAAAAGTTAAGAAAAAAAATCAAATGCAAATGAATCGAATGGGAGAACAAATCGTCAAATTGTCGCCTAGATGAAGTAAATTTACATTTTGTGTATGGTCATTTTCACAGGGTATTGACCATTGGCTGCAACGGGTAAAAGTGAACAACATGCTCCAACTTAAAGACTGATTGATGCTTACCTTGAAAGTCTGTTTTTGTCCAGGATGACTGCTTGTATGTGAGGAGTCTTCTGAAATGCGCCAACGTCGATCGTGTTCACCGCTGCTTCCGACATTTCGAGTTTTACGAGGCTAGGGATGTACTGGAAAGCGTTGCTTTGAATTCGAGTGATCGGCATTTCCCCCATTCCGAGGTTACGAAGGCTCCCAACGTATCGGAACATATCGGGATACCATTGGTTGAAGCGATTGCCGGTCAAGTAGAGGGAAAGCAGCGATGGAATGCCCCTGAAGGCTTCCGGCGCAATGTTCGATAGCAGGTTGAATTCCAAGCTAAGCGATTCTAGGGCGGGAAAGTTCAAACTGTCAATGGGCACACTGTTGATCTGGTTGGAGCCAAGGTTCAAGTTCTTTAAGATAGTGCGTTGATCCCTGAACGCGACAGTCGGAATATACGTCAGTGAGTTCCCTTGTAAGCTGACTTCCTCCAAATTGCTCAGACCGTAGAAGAGGGTCGGTTCTACGGTTGACAGCTGGTTTGCCGACAGATCGATCTTCCGTAGATATGTCTTGCTAGCGTAATTGGCGAAGCTCTGAGGCAACAGCTGACGGATGCGGTTGCGTGCCAGTGCGAGTTTGTTCAGTCTCGTTAGTTGACTGACGCCGTTTTGTGGTACCCTGCCGAGGAGGTTTTGCCTCAGGTCAAGCTCCAACAGTGATTCCTTGATGCTTCCTTCGAACGCTCCGGGGCTGATGTCACCCATCTGATTTTGGTTCAGTACAAGCCGCGTAATCGTGAAGCCGAGGAACGCGTTCGGAGGCAAGACAGGAATCTGTGTATTGGTGATGACCAGAACGTCGATCTGCACCGACCTCGCGGAATTTATGGCCGAAATAACAGCCGTCAACGACGGAGCGTTGTCACACACGATGCTAACCGGCTCGTATACCGATGGCACGCAGTAGCAGGGCGCATTTACTGCCGGACACTGTCCAGCGCATAGAGTGGCGACAGCTAACAGCACCAAAATCGAATACACAATTGCCAGCATGTTCGTCGTCGCCACTGTTCAGCAGAAGACTAGTAAATCAGAATTGATGACCACTACCACCATGAGCATCAGGGAGTACGGTCGTCGCTCGTTCGTTCCTTATCCCCTCTTGTTCAGCAACCCATTGCAATTCATTGTACGGTGAGCCGGCAAGTAGTGGATTACACAAGAGGTAGTGCTGTCACCGCTGCTTGTTCGTCGTCGTCGCCGCTTTAACCACGGTTGTGACATGACTCAGGCAGGACCGAGCGCCGTTTTTCATAAACTGGTTCTCCTTCGGCGTGCACCTGCCTGCTGCCTGAGTCGCGGAGGTTGTGACTGCGTGATCGATAGACGTCGACGGATTCGTGTGGTGATGATAAACAACAATTTTAGGCACGCACACACTCGCCGCCGGCCGGCTCAAAGAGACGAAAGACGCCCGAGCATGAGGCAGTGCAACTGACTTAATTTCGCCCCTCTGCTTGTCGCAGAGTCACTGCGACGAGAATGCCGACATCACTATGCAAACAGGCGATGACAAAGTAGTTCGGAAACTGTTGACCCTCCGACTCAGCACAGGCGTCTACTTGTGTCCTGTTTGCGCTTCGCCGTCAACTCATATTTCCCCATGCCCAGAAAAATAGGCCTCGTACGTAGAATTATAACACGTTCACTTCGTTTCCTTCCATGCTGGAAACCGACCTATACAACATGCTTTATGTGGCTTAAATTTTGAACTTCAGAGCTATTCATACGCCGTTAACAACCTGCAATGCTATTACCTCCTTTACTGAAAATCAGCAATAAGCAATGCACGAAAATGATCGGTACGAAGCACTCGAAAAATGGCACGGATATGAGTGATGGCCGCATGAATCAGATAGTATACAGGTGCCTATGAAAGTAGACGTTCTTTTCCACATGTTTTTTAGCTTCCCATAAAATGAACAGCGAACATGCTTACGTCATATTAACAAGGTGCAAAAGATGTGAGAAAATCTAAAATCAGTAAAACGATTTTCCCGGAAGGGAATATTCAATAGAACCACTTAATCTCTGATCACGCATTGTGGCCATACATTCTCATCTCTGATGTCTAACATCAGACCAAGTGTGACTTCAATATGCTGCTTTAAACGAATCATTTATGATAATTAAATTTTTACATGCCGAGCGGAAGCACTGTTATCCATAATTGGCTGAAACCTCAACGGAGGCTTGAAGAAATGTGAAACAGCTGCAACAGTTACTACCTGTTCAGTTCAGCCGCCGAAGAATCCGGAAGTAGTTAAGAATAACGCGGGGCAAATGCCTCATTGAACTCGAGTTATCTTTTGTCAAAGCTCAAGCTTTGGCACAGGACCGAGAACCACTTGCCCACTCTGCCTCCGCCACCCGAAAGAATAAGCGGTCATCGAAACTGACTGATTAACTGCCCGATCGACCGACTCATTAGTACTATACGTAAAACGTAAATTTGTGTTAGAGTCACAGGTTCAAGTCCGGTGAGGTGGGAAAAATTTTGCGTTTTGAAAATGATAATGTAGCTTAGCATGGAATTTA